CTTGCAAATGATTTTTATTTAAACACAGGGAAATAACCCTGACACCTTCCCTTCATTCACACTCACAGCTTCACCATATAGAGCATAACGCTGTGGAAAACATTGTGGGTCTTTGAGCCACTAAAAGAAGGCACTTCAACAAGGTTTCCAGCTTTCCCTCTTAATGTATTCGTGTAATGTGAAGGTGTTCTCTTTAATTGTTAGAAAACTTGCCCGAAACTGCTTCAAAATATCACTGTCAACCCGCACAGCTTCCAGTTACATTGATGTCATCCCCCCGCTTTTCAAACATGCTGCCACATTAGTACTGCATATGTTTCCCTGAGTCACTGTTGCCACATTGCACGCACAAATGCTGCTTGAACCTGGCTTTCCTAAGGGCATACAGTACACTTTTGACCCTCAAGGAGCTTGGCACCGTGCTAACGTGAACCATACTTACATTCCCCAAATGGCCCATGACCACCCCTTCAGTGCCTTCAAACCAGGAGCCAGTACAGGATTGCATGTTGCCTTCTGTTGTCCTCTTTAACTAGGAGCAGTTCCCAAACCTTTTCTTCAGGCTGTTATTTTGAAGAGTCCAGACTCACAGTTGGGTGGAATGCCCTTCTCTTTGGAATCTTCCAGTTGTTTCTTTATGGCCTCAGTTACCCATTCTTGCAAGATGGGACAGTGCTGATGCTCAGTTTGATCACTTGTTAACGGGACACTTGCCAGATTTATCCATAGAACAGGATCCCCTACCTTCCTTCCCTTACTCTTTAAACTGTATATTCCTTTTTCACCAGCTTACCAGTGCAAGGAAAACTTTTTTTTTTTTAAGATTTTATTTATTTGGCAGAGAGAGAGCACAAACAAGCAGGGGGAACAGCAGAGGGAGAGGGAGAAGCAGGCTCCCCGGTGAGCAGGGAGCCGGATGCGGGGCTCGATCCCAGGACCCTGGGATCATGACCTGAGCCGAAGGCAGACGCTTAATCGACTGAGCCACCCAGGCGCCCCCAAGTAAAACTTTTTAAACAGCATCTTTTGTAATATCTTCTAGAAGATGTTCAGTCTAGCATTTTTTTGTAGTTTCCACAGGAGGAGTGTTTGCAGACCTGATCCTGATCCGTGGAAGCCTGGAGCCTGTCCTCCCAGCATAGCCATCCTCCATACTGCTGCCCCCACACCCTGCCCTCCCTGTCACCACAGACTGTCACTGCCTGTTCTCCCAGGCCCTCACTTACTGCCCCAGCCTCATCTCCTGCCAGCCCAGCCCACCAGTGCTCAGCAGGCTACGGTAGCACCCAAACTCATCCTTTATTCACTTACTCAGACCGTGCCTGCTTTGGGTGCTAAGCTAGCCCCTGCTCTTCAAAGCTATTGGTCAGAGGGATACAGTCATCAAAAGAAGCAAAGGTAGTACAGCCTCTGGGTTGTGATTGTCACTTGGCACTCCTGTGCCTGGCACTGTGCGTCAAGTGGAGAGACAACAATAAAGAAGGCACGCACCGTCGGTGCCGGGGTGGGGGGCGGGGGCTGACCTATGTAGTGGTGTATTCCAACCACACTGGGGGGCCTAGGGCACTCTTGCTCATGGGATTGGGGAAGGCAGGAGCAGGGAATGCTCCTCAGAAGTGCCATCTTAACCCAAAAGAATATGGGAGAGAGGGCCAGCCAGAGCCATTGGTGACACAGGGTAGGAGTCATTAGTCACTCCTCCCTCTAGGGATGGAGCTATTGATATCACTGCCTACTATCACTGGCCTGTCCTGAGCCCTCCTTGCCAGCCAGTAGAACTCCTCAGCCCTGGAAACCCAGCTCAAGCCTGCCTCCTCCAGGAAATCCCCATCTTTGGGCTTCCCCTGTGCCTGGAACAGGGAAGGGTGTCACTGTTTTTTTGTTACTTCTTGTCCCCCTGACTAAACTGGGGGCTCTTGAAGACCAAATGATGATAATTCTGCCCTGTTGTTCCAGCCCCTAGCAGAGTCTGGCTCAGGTCAAGGGCGGTTGATGAACATTCATCAACTCAACCGTGACCTCAGACAAGTTCCCCAACCACACAAGGGAATTTTGTATACTTCCTTTTCTTTTCATCTGTAACACTGAAGAGTTGGAAGGGTGGTTTTTCTGGGGATCCTCCCAGCTCCAGAATATATGAACGTGGCTTCCTGAAGTCCACTCTCTGCACAGCAAGTAGAATGATCCTTGGAAGATAAGAGCCCTCATCCCTTCCCCTGCCCAAGGCTCCCCAATAGCAACCTGACAAAGCCCTCCACATCCCCCCTTGAGGCCTCTCTGCTGCCCAGAACCTTCTGGCACGTAGCCACATGGCTTGCTCCCTTGCTTCCTATAGGCTTTTCCCTCTTTTGTCCCTCCTTGTGTTCCAGTCAGTTTGTTCTTTTGGACACTCGCCTTGTCACAGTGTCACCTAGTGCAAGGAGCCCTTTCGGCCAGACCAGCAGCTGAGTCCTTTGACTTTCCCTTTCTCCATCCAAGCACTGCCCTGTGTTTCTGCCCCCACAGGCCACCGGAGAACCACAACCACCCACTTCTCCCAGGGCCAGCCTGGCTCCTTCTGTGGACGTTGGGTGCGTTCCCTGCCCCTGGGGTGCCGTATTAGGCCTTAGAATATGTCCCACCAAGGATGTGCAGAGAACTGTGGTCAGAGATACTTGAAATAAATCTTTTCTCTGTGGTATGGTATCAGTTCGATATACAGTTAAATTCATGTGTTTGTGTTTGCATTCAATATAGTAACATTTTGTTATCGCTTATTTTTGTTTTCATTTTGGTTATGTAAACTTTTATGTGATTCAGAGAGGTTTTGTCTCGCGCCTGTACCTTACCTCATTCCCACCCACCCTGGGACTAGGAAGCACTTCTTCCCTTGTTTCTCACATGAAAGGCAGCCTACGATCCGTAGTGTCGTCCATTCATTCCGCATGTCCTTGCTGGCAGCTCTCTGAGTTATGTGCAGTATTGGGGCAGGAAAAATAATGCCATTACAAATAACATCATACACCTGTTGTTTTGCATTTGGGGGGTGCCTCTTTAGGGTAGAGTTCTAGAAGGGATTGCCCTTGATGGCATTGAGACCCTTGTTTATATATAAGATGCATTGCCGGGGCATGTGGTTTGTACTTGACCTCATGGTGGTTAAACCATTTGGGGAATATAAGTGAGCATTCTGAAGAAGCCAGACCTTTCCCATGGGTGCAGTGTTGTCCTCTGACTCCAGGACTATCCCGGTTCCAGGGAGCAGCCCTGGCCTTCAGCAGTGCCCTTGTGGTGGACTGTGTGGAAGTGGTCGTTCCAGTCCATCTGCCACTCTGCCGCTGGCAAGCTCCCCTTCTCCCCTCTGTGATGGGGGCATGCAGGCCACAGGCCACGCCTAGCTTCCCAGGGTTCTTCCTCATTTCCTGCTGAGGAGCTAAGACTGCGAGGATTGAAAACTAAGCTCTGTGCTGCAACAGATTAGAGACCCTCACTTTACAGCAAGAGAAGATCTCCTATGGGTCATGGGCTGGATCAGGGTGACCCTGGTAGCCGTGCTCAAAGCCCTGAACTGCTAGAGGATGACCCAGGATAGGGAGGAACTCAGGGGCGAGCCTGTGTCTTGACCCCTGACCTGAGCTGTTTAGAAAAGGCCTGTCCTCATGGTGCCAAGTGTGTCCTGATACAAACCCACCTTTGGCAGCTTACCCACATCATTTGAGTCTGGTTACCAGTGCACACCTCAGTGCCTTCACTGGAGTCTCCACAGTGTGAACAAGGGAGAGGTTGCTTGGGGTAGACCGGCCATGAGGTAGTGATCCAGTGCTGACACGAGCCTTGTGGGACAGGACAGTTCTAGGGCTGAGATACTGAGGACAGGAATAGTCTTACTCTTTTCTAGAATGAATTGCCGAGAGACCAGCAGATGGCCGATTCCAAGCCTCCCCAGCCCAGGTTGTGTTTCTGCCCTCTTAGCCCTGCCCCAAGAACATCATGGCCAGACTCTGATTCCAGGGTCCAGGGCCTCATGGTGATCATTTCCGATGCACACAAGGAAGGGACCCTACGAGGTGGAGCCAAAGTATAGGGAAGGAGCTGCTCTGTCAGTGGGAAAGAATGGGGAGGCGCCTGCCCTGGAACCTGGGGAGGGTGCTCTTCTGCACCGTTGTCCTTGCTCTTCCCTTCCATTGGTCGAGTCTGAGGCGGTCATGTGTTGTAAGGGAATGTCTGGTGATAAAAGTTTACCAGACCTGGGATGGCTTCTCTTCTCACTCCAGAGCCCTGGGCAGCAGTTTCTGGTTGCCCGAGTTGGCCGGTGTTTATATAGTGTGCCTTTGTGACTTTTCTCCCTCTGGGGTGTTGGTACCTATTGTCGAGATGAGGAAACTAAGGCACGGGATGTTGAGGTCACTTGCTTGGGCCCATGTTTAGAAATTGCAAAGTCAGGATTTGAGCTCAGGTTGGCTGGTTCAAAACCTGCATGTTCTTTCCACAGCACTGTGCTGTGCACCACCTCCCAAGGGGGTAGCGCTAGGCTCTGTTACTGTCAGTAAGTTGTATTGTGCCCCATGACTGGTTTTTATCAAGCACACATTTGAGGAAACTTAAAATACAGAGGCTATAGTAACACCCAAGCCAGGTCTTCGTGAAGAGTAGGCCTGCCCACATTTTGGGTGGGCAGCTCCCTCTCCAGCGGTCAGGGGCCTCTTGTTAGCCATCAAGCCTAGAGGCTCTCGGGCACAGCTTGTAAAGTGGCCTCTTCCAAGGCGCTGCACTAAGAAGCCACATGGTGTTTCTGCCGCTCACCCTCTTGTATGTTAGAGGAGTGGGACTTGGGACAGAAGGAGTCAGAGTGGTCACAGGACAGCTAGGAGAAAGGCATCAAAATCTGGGTGAGCATTGGCGGGGCAGCCCTGTCTCTCAGAGCCCTACCTGTGCTGGGGTACCCCAAACCTGCCATTGCTCACTTTTTCTACAAATCAGTGTGTTCCCTGTGATACTTACATACTTATTTAACACTTCAGGGAAGAAAAGTCAGAAGACCAGGATCTCCAGGGCCTCAAGGACAAACCCCTGAAGTTTAAAAAAGTGAAGAAGGATAAGAAAGAAGACAAAGAGGGCAAGCATGAGCCCCTGCAGCCACCGGCTCACCACTCTGCTGAACCAGCAGAGGCAGGCAAAGCGGAGACCTCGGAAGGGTCAGGCTCAGCCCCAGCTGTCCCGGAAGCTTCTGCCTCCCCCAAACAGCGGCGCTCCATCATTCGTGACCGGGGACCCATGTATGATGACCCCACTCTGCCTGAAGGTTGGACCCGAAAGCTTAAGCAAAGGAAATCTGGCCGCTCCGCTGGGAAGTATGATGTGTATTTGATCAAGTAAGTAAGGGCAACTCCTGTCTCTACAGAGCAGGGAAGGCTCAGTGGGCAGGAGGCTGGGGACAGGTGCTAAGAAACTAATGGGGATCCCTTAGAGTGGCGGCTCTTTGTTACTTGTTGATCAGGAAGATGTGTGTGTGTAACTCCATCTTGGGTTGGGAGGGCTTCGGTAGACCACTTGCAGACCCCACCAGGTGTGTTTGGAAATGACTGTGTACAGAGGTCACTGCCCTGAGTGAGATGTACACAGGGTAGCAGAGAGTGATTTTACTCCACCAGCCCTTCAGGTCTTGTCTGGAGGTAGCATAGCAGTAGAGCCTACCCAGGGCCACAGTGAGGAGGCCAGGAGAGGTCACCTGGGAAACACTGAGGACACAAGGCCCTGCCCAGGCTGGGCCCAGAGGCCACAGAACCTGCCATGTGTCATGGCCTGCGCTTGGAAGGCAAGCAGAGCTCTCTGGGTTCCTTCCATTTACCTGCTGAAAAACATCCAGCTGAGGGGCTCTTCTCAAAACCAGTTAAAACTCTTCTTTCTGTGAGTTGTTCTGTGACATGGCTTCATGACCCAGAAGAAGTAGGAATTCATAGGGCTCAGTCCACTTTGTGAATCATGTTGGGAAAGGTTGGGCTCTCTGACAGGGCCTCTGGGGAGAGACACATGTCTTTCCAGCTGTCACTGGTGCATTTGTCCAGCTTTGGGCTGGTCTTTGGGCATTTTCTGTTCAAATAGTAACTTCCAAGCCAGAGCTTCAGAGAAGGACTGAATAAGTACATTTTAGTTCTGGCCCTTACATGATCCAGAAAAGGTTAACAGTTTTGGAAGGACATTTGCAGACAACCTCGTTTGATTCCAACAACTCTGACAAGGGTGAGCAAAGCATTATCCTATTGACAGATGAGGAAACCGATCCCAAAGAGGCTAAGCAGCATGCCCAGGTTCAGACAGGGGAGTGCTCTACTTCCTGAGTGGGCCCAGGCACCAACCAGCAGAATGGGCCCCCTAGCCTGATGGCTCAAGAGGGTCCCCAGGCCAACGGAGGGGCCTTGGTGGTAGGCAGACCCTCAGGGGCATCCGGGCAACAGCTGTCACTGGAGTGAGCACACCCTCTAGGTGCCCGCTGCCACCGCCCAGCAACCCGACTGCTTCATGTGTGGCCGTCGCCGTGCCCCTCTACTTTCAGCCTGTTTTGGCTTTTCTCTACTGTGACTCTCATTCAGTAGTATCATCAGGCAGGTCAGTTGCAGAACGTCCTGTCACAGAGTTCACCACCTTCTGCTCTGCCCCATCTTTGTACATTAGCGTGGAAGCTTCTAATCATTCTTTGTGTCTCTCCATTTGTTCCCACAGTCCCCAGGGAAAAGCCTTTCGCTCTAAAGTGGAGTTGATTGCGTACTTCGAAAAGGTAGGCGACACCTCCCTGGACCCTAATGATTTTGACTTCACGGTAACTGGGAGAGGGAGCCCCTCCCGGCGAGAGCAGAAACCACCTAAGAAGCCCAAATCTCCCAAAGCTCCAGGAACTGGCAGAGGTCGGGGACGCCCCAAAGGGAGCGGCACTGCGAGACCCAAGGCAGCAGCATCAGAGGGTGTGCAGGTGAAAAGGGTCCTGGAGAAAAGTCCCGGGAAGCTGCTCGTCAAGATGCCTTTTCAAGCTTCACCAGGGAGCAAGGCCGAAGGGGGCGGCGGGGCCACCACGTCAGCCCAGGTCATGGTTATCAAACGCCCTGGCAGGAAGCGAAAAGCCGAGGCCGACCCCCAGGCCATTCCCAAGAAGCGGGGCCGAAAGCCGGGCAGTGTGGTGGCAGCCGCTGCTGCAGAGGCCAAGAAGAAAGCAGTGAAGGAGTCTTCCATCCGGTCCGTGCAGGAGACCGTGCTCCCCATCAAGAAGCGCAAGACCCGGGAGACAGTCAGCATCGAGGTGAAGGAGGTGGTGAAGCCCCTGCTGGTATCCACCCTCGGTGAGAAGAGTGGGAAGGGACTGAAGACCTGCAAGAGCCCCGGGCGGAAAAGCAAGGAGAGCAGCCCAAAGGGGCGCAGCAGCAGCGCCTCCTCACCCCCCAAGAAGGAGCACCACCACCACCACCACCACTCAGAGCCCCCGAAGGCACCCGCGCCGCTGCTTCCACCCCCGCCCCCACCCCCACCTGAACCCCAGAGCTCCGAGGACCCCGCCAGCCCCCCTGAGCCCCAGGACTTGAGCAGCGGCGTCTGCAAAGAGGAGAAGATGGCGAGAGGAGGCTCGCTGGAGAGCGACGGCTGCCCCAAGGAGCCAGCTAAGACTCAGCCCGCGGTCGCGACCGCCGCCACGGCCGCAGACAAGTACAAACACCGAGGGGAGGGAGAGCGCAAAGACATTGTTTCATCCTCCATGCCAAGGCCAAACAGAGAGGAGCCTGTGGACAGCCGGACGCCCGTGACCGAGAGAGTTAGCTGACTTTACACAGAGCGGATTGCAAAGCAAACCAACAAGAATAAAGGCAGCTGTTGTCTCTTCTCCTTATGGGTAGGGCTCTGACAAAGCTTCCCGATTAACTGAAATAAAAAATATTTTTTTTTCTTTCAGTAAACTTAGAGTTTCGTGGCTTCAGGGTGGGAGTAGTTGGAGCATTGGGATGTTTTTCTTACCGACAAGCACAGTCAGGTTGAAGACCTAACCAGGGCCAGAAGTAGCTTTGCACTTTTCTAAACTAGGCTCCTTCAACAAGGCTTGCTGCAGATACTACTGACCAGACAAGCTGTTGACCAGGCTTCTTAGGGTATGCCTGCACCTCCCCTCCCACCCCGACCTCCCCCCCACGCCCCCCATGTGGTCATTAGGGACAGAGAGTGCCATTGGTGCCCCAGTCTCCGCTCTCCTCTCCCCCCACCCTGCCCCACCCCCATCCTCCAGCTCCCCCGCCTCCCCCATCCCCACCCACATTGGGACAAGGAGGTGTGAGGCAGGAGAGACAGTTGGATTCTTTAGAGAAAAAGACAGAGATGGCCAGTGGCTACAGCCTGTGTGATCTCACCCATGGTGGCACAAATCTGGCCCCACACCAGCCCCAATCCAAAACCGACTAGGACATTTCACAGGACAGGGAGGTAGCACCTGTTCGCTCCAGTTCTGGCATGGCTAGGAGGGAGTCAGTCCTTTGAGCTGCTGGGTGTAGACTGGCCTGAGCCAAGTGACCAGGTGAGAGGACAGCCCCGGGCCGTTCTCCAATGGGTGGCGCTAGAGAGAGAGAGAGAGAGAGAGGCCGTGGAAGCAACAGGGCGAGGCGCACTGGCCCCGGGCTCCTGGGCTCCTCCGGGTGGCAGAGAGCAGTGGGGCTGATGGAATTCCTAGTCGCTCAGAGCACTCTGTGACTGGTAGGTAGAGGCCTAGTGGACAGGTTGGGGGGCCAGGGGGAAGGAGGGGAAAATGTTCTTCCAAAACTTTTCAATTCTACTCCTTTAGGGACAGCTTAGAACTATTTGCACTATTGAGTCTTCATGTTCCCACTTCAAAACAAACATGCTCTGAGAGCAAACTGGCTTGAATTGGTGACACTTCGTCCCTCAAGCCACCAGACATGACAGTGTTTAGAACTACCTGGATCTGTATATACCTGCGCTTGTTTTAAAGTGGGCTCAGCACATAGGGTTCCCACGAAGCTCCGAAACTCTAAGTGTTTGCTGCAATTTTATAAGGACTTCCTGATTGGTTTCTCTTCTGTCCTTCCATTTCTGCCGCCTTTCATTCATCCTTTCATTTCTTCCCCTCCTCGTTCATCCCTTCTGTACCAGGCACCCACAGTTCCCAGCTTTACCTGAGCTGATGCTGGTCAGCTCAGGCCCCCAGATCTCACCCTGCCCTTGGGCCTTCCCACTGCCAGCCCTAGCCCTAGCCACACCCCCATTCTGAGCCCTGAGGAAGCCCCGGGCTCTGCTGAGTCCACCTGGCCCTAGCACCTTGGCTTCTCTGAAGGGCAAGAGAGCAGCAAGATCCTGCTCTCTTAGGGAGCTCCCTTCCCTGGTCAGACCCTGATTCTGGGCCTTCTCAACCTACTCGAGAGAAGCAGGCAGGCGAAGTTGGGCAGATTTGGACTTGGGAGCTGAGGGTAGTGCAGAGGCCCCCAAGGCCTGCCATAGTCATCAAGTAGCCCGGCCCTGACCTTGGCCTCGGCCAGGCCCAGCTAGCACAGTGTGGTGCAACGAGGCAGCAGGTGGGAAGAAATGGCAGATGCCCCAGACCTGAGCTGGGACCAGTGCCTAGGCTCCTGGCCCCTCTGCTCCTCCCTTAAGTTAACCATGAGTTCTTTTCTGATGGAAAATGTCTGGGTTTTGCTTGCTGGAGACTGGGTAGGGCCAGCATATCACACATCTCCACATCTATGCCAGGGGAATGGTGTGGGGGCTGAGCGGCTTGGGTTTGCTATGGGTGTTCATTGATCAATCTCCATTTAGGACCCCATCCTTTCATTCTGTGTTCAGGAAGTCCTTATCTAGCTGCATATCTTCATCATATTGGTATATCCTTTTCTGTGTTTACAGAGATGTCTCTTATATCTAAATCTGTCCAACTGAGAAGTACCTTATCAAAGTAGCAAATGAGACAGCAGTCTTATGCTTCCAGAAACACCCACAAGCACGTCCCATGCGAGCTGCTGCCATGAACTGTCAAGTGCGTGTTGTCTCGTGTATTTCAGTTATTGTCCCCTGGCTTCCTTACTGCAGTGTAACCATGAAGGAGTGAAACATCCTAAAAACCGTCTAGCACTTCCTTGCCAGTCCTTAGTGATCAGGAACCATAGTTGACAGTTCCAATCAGTAGCTTAAGAAAAAAACCGCATTTGTCTCTTCCGGAATGGTTAGAAGCAAGGGAGTTTGCCCCCATTCTGTTTGCAGAATCATAGTTGGCCTTTGTAGCATTTTTGTACCCATTTCCTTATGCTGCAAAAGCAAGTCCCACAACCAGACCCCCTCTGCTGTTGACCCTCTGGGCTTCACTTCTGACTCCTCCCCAGGAAAGGCAGGGGGGTCGGAGGAGGGGGCAAGTCCTTCAGGATCCCTCTTCCTTCAAGGACAAAAGGCTCCTGACCCCGAAGTGGCCTCGCACTCCTGGCACCCACAAAGGATGCCTGTCCACGCAAGTACAGCGTCCGGCCAGTTTGTCGTGGAGACACCATCCGTTTTGGTCGGTTGGGTTTTTATGCATTACACTTAGTCCAGTGGAATGTGACTCCCGGAACCAGTGTCAAGAGCTGGCCTCTCCATCAGCTCAGTACCATCTGGTCCTGGGAAGAGGAGTGCGGGGCCCGCCATGCCCCCCTTTCACCCATGACCCTTCAGGGGCTGACTGGGCATTGGTGGTTGAGAGCACAGCATTTCAAGTTTCATTTTCTTTCGGCCCGGTCTGACCTGCAGCCCCCTCGCTCCCCAGCTGCTTCTCCTTACAGTTCCGAAGCTGCAGGCAGCCCCTGAGGCTCCTTAGGGTTTTCTCTCCTTCTCCCCATTCTTTCGCATTCCCTCTTCTTCACCTAATAAAGGCATCACAAGTAAGTCACCATTAAGCAGGTCACCTTGGTGGTTTGTCGCCCTGGCAGACGGGCCCTGCAGCTCCCATACCACCCCTGTCCTGGGTCAGGTTGACAGGAGGTTGGAGGGAAAGCCAGGCCATGGGATTCTCACCAGCCGTGTCCAGCCCAGTTTGAGGGTGTGACCTCGATTTTGTGTGTGCTTGAACATCATGAAGATTGGGGGCATCTTTTAGGGACTGTGTGAAGAATACAGAAATTAACTGGCTGCTTTCAGACACCTGTTTGTAGGGCTAGGTCACAGTCACTTTCAGCCTCCCCCACCCTCGTTCTAGTTGTTAGTTACTACCTCCTCTCCCGACAGAATGCTGTATGTCCTTGAGCTCCTCCTACAATGCCCAGCCCAGCTCTGCCCTGCCCTGCCCATTGGTGGGCCTGCCCTAACCAGTGGAACCGCTGGCCTTGACACTGTAGTGAACCAGGGCACCGAGCCACAGCCAGGCTCTAAGACAGCTCCCTTCTGCTGCTACTGTATTCCCCTTATCAGAAGGCACAGGCGACACCTAGAAATGCCCTGTTCCCCAGTCCATCAGTGCCAAACGACCCAAGGACCTCAGTCCCCTCAACTCCCTGGGAAGTGAAAGCCGTGGTGGTGGCCCAGGGACACTGGCCACAGCCAGCACCTGGCTTCTACTCCTGAGACCCCATGCAGGTGTGGGCAACAGTCTGTTCAGGGGCACCAGGACCCAGAGCAGCCCCAAGTTGTCACCTGCTCCTCCGCGCAGCTTTTCATTGCTCTGACAGGGATGATGAAAGGAGGTACTAGCCTGAAGCAAACTGCCATGTTTGGTGGGAAAGGTGTTTCTTTAGCTGCCAGGATCTCTGGATTGAGGTAACTTTTAGTAAGCAACTGAAGCGCAGGAGGGAGCAACAGGTATGAAGTGAACTCACCAGGTGGGGCGACTGGATCCTGCAGAACCCAAGTGGAGCCTAGCAGCTGAGCTCTGCGCCCCCTTTCCGGAGCATTTGCGCCTGGCTCTCTGGGCTGATGGAGCCAGGGAAGGTCACAGGTGCTGGTTCTTGGAGAAGCCTTTTGCGCATCCTTTCCTAGCCAGTGTCGCCCCGAATTGTTTCCTAATGTGAGTCACGCACAGATTTTAGGACTGGTGGCCCAGACCTCAGGAAGCAAGCTGTGTTTAGAGCCCTGTTCCTGGAGTCTTGGCTCATGGGGGCGGGGTGGGGAGCAGCGGGGGCAAGCATCACCCAGCCGGTGGTAGAGCCCCTGCAGCCCCACCATGTCGCGTTCCTGATCTTACTTTGTTCTCTGTAAGGGTCCCACCTTTGCTCTCTCCGCCAGTAAACTCGTCCACTCTGGAGGGGTTTGTCGAGTCTCCATTTTTTCGTCTTTTCTCTTTTAGATGCTGTATCAATCTTTAGAAAAGGCATAGTCTGTTATATATCGCTAGCATACTGCCTCCCCCAGGGTCTAAAGTTACATATTAAAGGGGAAAAATGTGAACACTGAAACCCGTTCTGAACAGTTCAGAAGGAAAATCTAGAAAACATTTGGCAGAAAATTACATTTCAATGTTGCTGAATGAATAAGAGCAAGATTTTGCAAAAGTGCTGATATAAAAATATTTGGAGCTTGGCCTGACATGTGAGTGCTCCAGGAAAAGGGGAATCCAGCCTGAAGCTGCTGGATCTGAGACTCGGGGCCATCTTCGCATTGGGGAGCCCCCTGTCCTGCAGGGCTGCCTGCCTGGTCCCAAAGCTGTAGGAGCCCAGCACTTGGTGTGGGAAGCAGAGTGTCACCAGTGAGTCCAAAGGCCTGCGACGTTCTCACCACCCAGCACCACCTGTTTCTTGTTCCTTTCTCATCTCGACAGGATGTTCCCCAAGTGCTGATTTTTTCGGGAAAAAGGAAGTCCTAACTAGGGCCCAGGCAACTAGGAAGATGAGGGTGAGGTCTCCCCTTTGGCCTCTGCCTGTTCCCTGAGACATTCCCCCTCTCTGCTCTCCTTGGGGCCCAGGGTCTAGGTGAAGTGGTGCTCCCTTATGCATGCAGAGGTGAAGACAGGCCTGAGCACTCCCTGTGGTGTGTGTCCCCCTCGCCCCTTACCAGCGAAAGCCCCTGGGCCAGAGGGAGGGCAGGCACAAGAACAGGTACCGGGCAGAGCCGAGACCTTCCCAGAGGGAAGTCCGGCCTTTGAGATTGAGAGCATTAGGGAAACTTGCAAATTGCCTTTGCTCCCCTAGCCCCCCTTCAAGCTTACCTTTTCTCAGGTCCTCAGCAGCAAGAGACAATGAGATGAAAAGGCCAACAAGAGGTTTGGCTCCTGCTCACTGGTAGTCCCTCTCCCTTCAGTGTTTGTGTGTCCAGTGACAAAGGTGTTCTTCCTGGTGACCCTGATTATATCCAATATCTTATAGACTATACGCATAGGCCTGCTTGGTCTCCTCTATCCTGGGCTTTTGTTTTGCTTTTTAGCTTTGGTTTTAGTTTTTCTGTCCCTTTTATTTAATGCATCAACTAGACACACAGAGCAGTTGAATTTTTATATATATATATCTGTATATTGCACAATTATACACTCATTTTGCTTGTGGCTCCACACACACACACAAAAGATCTGTTAAAATTATACCTGTTGCTTAATTACAATATTTCTGATAACCATAGCATAGGACAAGGGAAATTATAAAAAAAAAAACAACAAAACAAACAAAAAAAAACAAAACAAAAAACAAAAAACAAAAAAAACTACAAATCTGTCTGCTGGTCACTTCTGTCCAAGCAGATCCGTGGTCTTTCCTCGCTTCTTTCAAGGGCTTCCCTGTGCCAAGCGAAGGAGGCTCCAGGCAGCATCTGGGTTTTGCACTGTCTCCCATGCTTGCGAGAGAGGTCCCAGGATGCTGGTGCAAGACAGTTCACCTCAACGGGTGGGTGTAAGAGCGCTTCCTTGCCCTGGCAAAGTCTGGAATGTAGTTGGTACCACCTGGCCCCCTTCGACCTCTGGATGGGGCAGCTGGAGTCCAGGAGGGAGGGGATGGCCTGACCCCACCCCCAGCCCTCCCAGTGACCCAGTCAGAGTGATCATGTATGGAGAGTCAGCTCAGCAGGCCTCCCCACCAATAGGGCTTCCACTTTGCTGAGGCTGGAGGGCAGATGGGAGGCCTATCACATCTCTGAATGTGTGAGCTGCACCAGGTAGACACCAGGGACCCCAGAACCACATATGAGAGTCCACTGGGTCCCCCCCTAGGAGGTAGCAAAGACTCCAGAAAATCCCTGTCTCTTCTCCCCCATCCTACGAGTAACTGCATTTGCTTTTGTAATTCTTAATGAGCAATATCTGCTAGAGAGTTTAGCCGTAACAGTTCTTTTTGATCGTTTTTTTAAGTAATTAAAAAACACCAAAAAAAAAAAAAAAAGAAAAGAAAACAACTACAACAACCCAGAAACTTGTTCTTCCAAAGCAGAGAGCATTATAATCACCAGGGCCAAAAGCTTCCCTCCCTGCATCATTACTTCTTCTGAGGCCTGAACCAAAAGAGAAACACTCATAAGCCCTTTGGGTGGCCAGGCTACCTGTGGGGCCCTCGGAGGACCTGGGCTGGGGCAGCCTCTGGGCCCAGTCTGGGGCCCACTCCAGCCTGCATTCAGTATTAGCAGTGGGTCACGACGTCCTTTCCCACCCAGCCTGGGATGGGGGCAGAGGAGGCGAGGAGGCCGTTGCTGCTGATGTTTGCCACTAACAGGTGGGTGTCCACGTGTGTCCACGTGCGTGCTTTCTGACTGAAATCTGAAATCAGCGCCCAACTTAGCCTCACCCAGTGACCTCTCGCCCACCTGGACGGAGCAGGGCCCACCCAGTTGAGTGTTTCTGGGGAGCTGGACGGTGGAGTGCAAAAGGCTTGCAGAACTTGAAGCCTGCTCCTTCCCTTGCTACCAAGGCCTCCTTTTCCGTTTGATTTGTCACTGCTTCAATCAATAACGGCCGCTCCAGAGTCAGTAGTTGATGAATATATGACCAAATATCACCAGGACTGTTACTCAATGTGTGCCGAGCCCGTTCCTCGCGCTGGGCTCCCGTGTACCCGGACACTGTAACGTGTGCTGTGTTTGCTCTCCTCCCCTTCTCCCTCATCCTTCCATCGTTTTTCTGGGGTTTTTCTGTTTGGGTTTGGTTTGGTTTTTATTTCTCCTTTTGTGTTCCAAACATGAGGTTCTCTCTACTGGTCCTCTTAACTGTGGTGTTGAGGCTTATATTTGTGTAATTTTTGGTGGGTGAAAGGAAATTTGCTAAGTAAATCTCTTCTGTGTTTGAACTGAAGTCTGTATTGTAACCATGTTTAAAGTAATTGTTCCAGAGACAAATGCTTCTAGACACCTTTTCTTTACCAACAAAAGGATTTGGAGGGAGGGGATGGTGACCAAGATGAGAGGGGCTGTCCTTTTTCCCCAGGAGGGGAGATCCGAAGAGATGACCCCTGCCCAGATCAGCCAGATGCCACCCAAAGAAGTTAAGCCTAAGCCAACAGACCAAATAGCTGATGTGTTGCCATTTTCAAAGTCAGAGCAAAACCAGGTTTTGTTCCACCCAGTGGATTCTGTTGCCTTTTTTTCCCCCAAGATTATTAGCATCATCATTATTTTTAAGGACAGACAAGGTTGATGTTCCTTCCAAGGGAGACAGGAGGGGTGTGAGCAGAGCCGACCTTGCCTCAGTGGAAGGAGGATAGGGCAGGCCTGAGGAGCATAGCTCAGAATAAGGGTGGTCATCTCCCTGGAGACCTCCACTGTGGCCACAGGTCAGTTGTATGTTGACAGGGCAGTTTGGCCACTCTCCACCTGATGCAGCTCTTCCTGGACAGGCTAGGTGGTAGGCATTACTGTTCAGGACACCCCCATCACAACCCACCCAGTCCCAGAGTATACAACACTAATGTGACCTCTAGATTCTTCACCATCCTGGGTGATATGACGATGGTGGAGGGGGTGCACTCTCTTTGCTGTCATCTGATCCCCAGCAAAATTTGGGCATGAGAAACCCCACTTCCCTTCCCCTGGCAAAACCAGATCCTTCTGAGAAAAGCCATTACCCCCACCAGACATTGTTTTGGGCTCACGGAACAGGGACAGATGTGTGCTCCCTTAGCACCCAGCCCTCCCCCCCCAAAGGCGAAGACAATGCTGACTGTCATGACTGTTTGCACATGGGTTTAGTATCAGGAAGAACCAGGCAGGGTGGCTGCCCCCTCCTGAGTCACAGTGACACTGGACACCCTAGACAGAGGAGCTCCAGCTCGGAAGCCCGGTGAGGGTGGGAGAGAGGTGTGTGTGGGACAGGGAGCAGCCCAGGACAGACTTGGCTAGAGATGTCTCCAAAGCCCTCCATCACATTCACCTTCAGTTTTTGTGTTTTGGGACAATTACTTTAGAAAATAAGTAGGTCGTTTTAAAAACAAAAAATATTGATTGCTTTTTTGTAGTGTTCAAAAAAAGGTTCTTTGTGTATAGCCAAATGACTGAAAGCACTGATATATTTAAAAACAAAAGGCAATTTATTAAGGAAATTTGTACCATTTCAGTAAACCTGTCTGAATGTACCTGTATACGTTTCAAAAACACCCCCCCCCACTGAATCCCTGTAACCTATTTATTATATAAAGAGTTTGCCTTATAAATTTACATAAAAATGTCCGTTTGTGTCTTTTGTTGTAAAATCAAGTGATTTTTTCATAAGGTTCTTTTACTATTTGAAAAGATGGGCAGCACGCAGTTTTATTTTATTTTTGTAAGTTTTTTAATACGTGTGAAAGCAAAGAATACTCAGCATGCCTTTCTAAGTGACGCGTTTGCACCTTTTGTTGGGAAGTACTGTATCCTGTGCTGTTAGCATTCTCGATAAATCTCTCTGTGAAAGTGACTCAAGGTCTGGGCTTTCATTATCAGACAGCTCACAGGACAGCATGGTGCTATGTTTCCTGATTCCGTCTGGCTGTCCCTGAACCCAAATAGCCAGCTGTTTTCAGGACTGCCTTGGGAGGAAAGACCAGCCTGCTCCATACACTGCCTCCCTTGGGTTCCGAGGCTACACTTTCTAGGCACACTGCTCCAGCGTGTGTTGGGAAGCTCTGGGGTGGCAGGCTGGGAAGGACCTGGCACGGGTCGGCCCGCTGAGCCCCAGGTCCAGAGGCAAGTGGGCTGCAGCCCTTCTGCACAGCCGCACAAATCCCCTGCTCCTGAGGGCCATGGCAGGGGTGCCTCCTCTGTCCGGGTGCTTTTGGAAACCAGCTGCCATCCCCGAGCTCCGGCTCCTGTGCCTACAGCCTGAGACCTTCCCGTGGCCTCTGCTGACCTGGCCCCCTGCCCAAAGGGGGCGCTGTCATCACTGTGGGGCTTGCAGACCTTTTGCAAACTTGGCACTCAGGAGCTGCCTGCCCTGCCACAGCTGTTCTTACGAGGCTGTTGCTGGGCTGGAGGGGACAACTGCTCAGAGTCCAGCTTCACATGCAAATAAATGTGGGCACACGCTGCTAGAAGGTGCACTCGAATGTCCTGGCCTTGAAGGTTAAAACAAAGGGTTGAAATTCGACCATGTCGAATTGAGCATGTCTCGTGTGCCAGGCCTGTCCTGGGAGCCGCTGTCCAGCAGTGAACGAGGAGGACAAAGTTGCTGTTCCTTTAGGGCTTAGTGTGTGTGTGCATGATAATTTCCCGTACTGGAGTTGGTAGTCTTTGTAAAGGCTGTCCCCATGAGAAAGCACTGGGGCCCAGGGTGTGGCTGGTGATGGCTGTGACTTCTGGGGTGAGAGGCTCCCATGGAGGCCCATCTTGGGGGGACAGCCTGAAGGGGAGCCCTCTGGGGTCAGGATCGAGGGGGGCGGGTGGTGAGGGAAGGAGACCTGTTGCCGTGCAAGCACTCATCCAACTGGAGAAACAAAAGAGCAGGCACTGTTGCTGCTTGGTGGGGTCTTTCCCCATCTAGAGCGGGAGGCAAACAAGGGCAGACGCTCACACGCCGCAGATGGCAAGCACAGCAGGGGCTGCAGGCAGCTCTGCCCAGAGAGGCCTAGGGTCCTCAGGGTAGGAGGGAGTCGCAAGAGCAGGGGGCCTGGGGAAGAAATGGACTCCAGAGATGTTCAGGGAAATGACCGCAAAATAGGGGCTGCTGGAATGGAGGAGCACCAGAGAATCCAAAGAAAGCAGTAGCTGCAGAGCACTGTGGGAATGGGCAAGACGGACTAATGTGGTGAAGACATCAGACAGCCTAGGAACCGAGCCTGTTGCCTGGGAGAGGCTGGACTCTGCCATCCTCACAGGGGGTAGTGCCAAGTGAGCCAGGAGCATGGCAACAAGAGGGAGGAGGCACAGCAGAAGCTGAAGGCCTGTTTTTAAGAGACGTAAACACGTTTTACGTGCTAGTGGGAAGAAGCCACCAAAGAAGGAAAAGCTGCAAACACTGCAAAGAGCAAATAATTGCTGGAGCAGGTTCCTGAAGAAGTGGAAAAGATGGCATGCAGGGCGGAGGAGGTGGGCAACAACGCTCGGAGCTGGGGCAGCCTGCTGTACAAGCTTCCAGATCGTTCTCCCTGCACCCAGCCTCATGGCCAGCTGACAGGACGCAGCGGGGGTCCTCTGTGTGACCCACATCTGACCCTGCCCCGCCTGGGATCTCTGACGACTCTCTGCTGCCTCCCGAATGAAGCCAAAAGTTCGTAAGGGGACCTCCCAGTGACGCTCACAAGGCCCAGCTCTAGCCCTTTCTGGAATGTCCCGGGCCTTGCCATGACCTTTGTCCCAGTGCTCGGAACCGCGCTGCTCCATCCCTCAGAGCCCCACTCAGGGGGCCCCTCCTCCGAGAAGCCCGCCTCACCGCCCAACCGAACCCAGGGGCGCGGCCTTCGCGGGCAGAGACTGCGCGCCGCGCCCCCGTGTGGCCGAGGGTCGCGGCGGCG